AGAGAGAGAGAGAAAGAGAGAGAGAGAGAGAGAGAGAGAGAGAGAGAGAGAGAGAGAGAGAGAGAGAAAGAGAGAGTGAGAAAAAAAACGCAGGAACAGGGCGAATAGGAAAGCTGCGTGATATGGAGGCTGGCAATTATTATTTTTTTGAGTAAGGTCTGGGGCTCGGAGAGCGGCGTGTGCGTCTACTATAGCTTATCCTGCGGCGTCACGTCGTACCCAAGAGTAGCAGTCAGTGTGTAGTGTAGCGCGCTCGCGACAGTACCGACCGGTCGCCGCCTACAAATCGCATCTGACAAATTCGTCGGGGTTTTTTTTTTGTTTTTCGGTCTTTATTTTCTTTCTCGTGTTCGATTTTCGCGGACGTTTATATCTCGTTCGTTAATTTTGATTTTAAACCAGTTTTCGCGTGTGAGTGTTTTTTTTTCTCGGTTCGTCATATCACTTTCAGGTGATTGCAACCGATGCAAACCACAAACGTGATAATAATTTCTCGATCAATTTATATCAATTATAATTAGATGAGTTGATGGGGGATTTTTTTTTCTTCTGAAAAGTGTATCGTCGTGATTCAATCAACCATTATAATATTTTTTCCTCTTCGAAATAGTTCTTAATCAGAGTGACGTGATTAGCGTTGGAGTTTCGATCAAATCTACTAAATGTGAGTACTCTTGAATAAATGTTGCTATTATTATTCGTGTGCCTTCCGCGCGGTTCGTTTGATGTTCTGTAGACTGTAACATTTTAGGGTAATTGGGTTCCAATGAGAGCGATGAAAAATAAAAAAAAACCCTTAGCTAACAATCAATAAGCGAGTACCGTCGAATCTCGGTTATTCGATTTTAATTGAAAGTGTAAAACGTGATATATACTACTCGCGTAAAGAGCTGAAAAAGTTTCAAGAGAACGCCACTTCCGTTTTAAAAACTTAATGAAGGTGTGCGTATTATGTTTCAAAAATGTTTGTTGTGATAGCAATTTCATTCGAAATACATAGGTTAGGTAGGTCATATTGTTATATGTAACTTGATGAAATGCTTTCCAATATTTAATTAATATTAATACGTAATGTTGAATCCTCACATACTATTCACACAAATTGTACTGCTTTTGTTATTTTTTTCACGAATAACATTTTTGAAATTCATAATATTTATAGAATTAAAAATAGGTATACATTCGTAACATATTTTTAGGTGCATATCAGGTAAATAATAAATAACGTTGCAATAAACGAAAAATACTCGAAAAAATTACGAACTGTTATAGAAATACGTGAACGTTTAAAAAATAATTTTACTATATTTTTCCTCTAGCAATTTACAATGAAATTTATAAAATTAGAAAAATATATATTATTATTTTACTTAAAGGTGATTGGGCTATCAAGGTTGGAAATCTTTTACGACTTAGTATAATATTATTGTATCAATCAATCACTAGTTTTATCTAAAATAATTACTTCTTAAATTACATTATAAAATCTATTTAATAATGTATTTACAAGAAATAAACTTTTTTTATTTGTATAGCACTTCTCATTTTTGGTCAAGATATATTTATTATGATTTTATATTTTGCCATATATTGTCAAATTTGTTCTATAATTATATTAATTTAAGCATGATTTCAACATTACTGAACACCGTGAAATATAATTTGTACACTGAATAAACACGAATGTATTTTTATTACGCATTATTCTTTAATAAACATATTGAATTTTTTTTTTCATATTGATCGCAAATATATTAACAGATTCTCTATTAGTATATAGCCATTTATGTTATTTACTTTAATTCATATAAAAATATATTTTTAATTTTTTTAAGAAACAGTATGATAAACATTTTGAATTATAATTGTATATTTGTTTTTTTTTTATTAATGAATATTGAATCTATAAAAAAATAGTTATGGTAATTACAATAATATTAGTCTCAATGTCTTATCTGCATATATATTATTTTTATCTGTATGAACATCATTTATTTTGTTTGATATTACGTAAAATTTTCTTCAAAAAATAAGAAGAAATTTAAAAGTTCATGTGTTGTTTTTAATATTATAATATGATTTATGAACGATAATATTAGAAAAGTAAAACTTTATTCAGATATTGTTTCAAGTCTTTTAGTTATTTATAATGACTCGTTGCTTATAATTTTAACTATAGTGCTGTGATTTAAACGTGTATCTTAATAATGCAATGATAATTTGTTTGAAATTTAAATCACCGTATTACATTTAAGTAATTGTATTAAATTATGTCATTCAATTAATAATACAATGTAGAACAGCTAATTATAAAAATGTAATACTTTGTTTTGTTTGATATTTATTTATATAATATTTACATTCAAACAGTTTATTTAATTTTTTTTATACACCTAACACTTTAAATTAACTACCTATTAAATATCTGTACATTTGATGAGATCATATGAAAATAATGATTTATTTATTTATTTTTTTTTTTTTATACACGTTTATTGCATTTGCTTTATATCTCATAATATTTGTATGGTATTGGATATTTATTTTTTTTTTTTGGAAGTTAAAACTGATTTTAATTTATATTAATACATAAATGAAACATAATAGATTTAATTTTCTGTGCGAAATGAATTCACACGAATCGTAATAATTAACGGAACCTGAAACTAATTAATTAAAATTAATAGTATTATTTGTTTTTGTTCTTTGATTAATGATGTACGGTATATTTACTCAAATCTGCGGTATTCTGATTTTTGTGTACAACATCATATGAGCCTTGTGTTGTTACTTTTACTAAAATACAAAAAAAAAAATTTCATCTATTACTATCTTTCTATCTCACTATCATTTTTTCTCCAACTACTAAAAACCGAAAAATTAGTAAATTTATAATATTTACCACATAAAACAAATGATGTACGGTATATTTACTCAAATCTGCGTTATTCTGATTTTTGTGTACAATATCATATGAGCCTTGTGTTGTTACTTTTTCTAAAATACAAAAAAAAATTTCATCTATTACTATCTTTCTATCTCACTATCGTTTTTTCTCCAACTACTAAAAACTGAAAAATTAGTAAATTTATAATATTTACCACATAAAACAAATGCTTCTGGAATAGCTTTGAATTCCATACATTATGCATCGTATCTAATAGTTATAACGATGATGTAACTGAAAGATTATCTCGCCCTCATTATATTTAGTTTTTAAATCGATGTTAATTATTATTTTAATACGGCTAATGAAGTTTGGAAATTACACCATTATTACTGAAACATATTACACACTGTTTGCAATATTTCGTTATCGATTTTAGATTGAATATTGTGTATTTATTGTGTAAATTAAATACCTGATGAAGATACCAGGTGTGGCGAAATTTATGTGCCACATTTTTCCAATCAAGGTTTTATAAATCTTTCAATCGCCTAAAGGAAATTATATTTTTTAAGGATAAAAATAAAACTACAGATTAATTACATTATTGTTATTAAAAGGTACATATCTTTTTTTTTTAATTATAAATTATGTTTTATTAAATATCCTTAAATTTTTTGTTATATATTTAATTATTTTATGTTGTTAAAGTTGTTGATAAAGTTTTGATATCAAGAGTGTACTATGTCATTTTAAATGAAACAAAAGTAGTATTTATTTCATTGGTCAAAGAATTTTTTTCCTTCGATTTAATTAAATTTACTATGTTGAATAAACTTTTAGAAGCATAAGGGGACGAAAAAATTGAAAGTCATATAGAATATTATAATTTTTAAAATGTATATAATTTGTTTTGTTGAAATAATTATAATTAAAATTTTATAAATAGCTCAATTTTTTTTGTGTACAATTTTTAATAATTGCAATTGTTTGGCGTGTCATTGAAGAAATTTGGTCAATGTGCCATAAGTTCGTCACCCCTGTAATGTACGATTAAATAAAAATTAAAGCATTTAAGTGTTTTATTTGTTTGATAATATTGAGTGTGAGGGGAAAAGCGAGAATAATTTATTAGTGTGGCAATAAAATCTACCAAATATATATCATTGCAATTAAAATAGAAATAATTGTTTATTCGCCAGTTTTCTTCGAGTTTTAACACAACGATGAAACGCGTTGCGTGCGGTTTAAATAAATATAGAACCACAGTTTCACGTGATAATTTTTAACTGTAAGAGCGAGTTGTATTGGTTTTATTGTTTATACTAATAATTAAGATGTGTGAAAGAACTTTATTTGGTTTTGAAAGGTTTGTTTTGTTATGTAAGCGAGCTTGTTAATTGAAACATATGTGTTCAGATTGTGCGATATTAACGTTTTATTTTTATTATTAGATAGTGTGAGGTTTTACATTTTTTTTTTAATGTATAAAATGAAAAGTAATAGTTTCGAGTTCGTATAAGATCGTGAAATGAGATATTCTTATAAGCATCTTATTTATTTTTTATTATTTAAAAATTTTGAAATAATTCAAATATAGTGGGTTATAAAGTTTTCCTAATGTATATATATAAAAAAAAGCCTCCAGATATGTTTTATATGAATATATAAATATTCGATTATAAACTTCTAAATAGCATAAAATTCAATAGTAGTGTTCTAAGGATGCGTTCGTACCGAAAATATTTGAAATACTATGTAATATAAATAGTAATATTAATATATCCTTATGAATAATGCTTCCATTTAGTGTTCTTTGGAAAATATATTATTAGCTACATGAAAAATCAATTACACTAGCAATATTCTGTAAACAAATAAGCCATTTAACTCTTAAAATTTTGGTTCACAGAGTCACGTAATATTTATCAACACTTTATATTTCTTTAGAACATACATTTTCTTTGTCACTAGAGCGATTAAAATAGTCACTAAGATGTATAGAAGATAGAGAGTAAAGAGTGAAGGCTCAATACTTTTTATTATGGAGTACAGAGTGATATAGTTCAAACATTTATGACATTTCTGTAGATTTTAACGTAAGTATATTTTTTGTCAAAGTAGTTTGGAGATGAAATAATTTTAATTATCTAAAATAGTTATATAAACCAATGTACAAAAAAGCTATAGATACTTTAAACCGTTAACAAGTTGTTATATATTAGACGTATTTTGGGGATACGCGTTTTTTTTGTTTCTATGTAATGTGTAATTGTGATTATGATATTTTTTGGTTGTAATGTGAATTAACATCAGTATGTTTTCCTGGAAACACGATAGTTGTTTTCTACTAAGAATTAATGTTGAAACATCGAACAGTGAAGTATACTCGCTGAAATAAGAAATTTTAAGGGTTTGATTATTATATAGTATTCTATTTTTTCCTATTTGTTTGTATTAATTATTATATTATTATTTAATTATTCATATAATATTATGTTGTATATTAATTGGATGCTTAGAATTTGTACTTCATTATAGAAGAGTTTGAGCCATAGAAGAAAATTAATACGCTAGAAAAGCAAACGTTCGATACCCTAGTTCTGTGATAATCGATTACACCAGATCTATTCTATAATTTCTCCAATTTTTCGGCATTCAAAGTTTTTCAGAATAATGGGCTCATACCCAGTTCCAGAAGTATTGTGTAACTGAAATGATTACGCGAACACTGCGAGAAGTAATCAATCTTATGATAGGATGACGCGTATTGTAAA